TGAATGTTTCATTTGGAAAATTTTGTGATCAATTTCAGAGAAGGATTTGTTACATATGGTTCTTATTTCGTCGGAATTTGTCGTACATTCTTCTTGGGACTGCTGAGGCTGAGGTACTCCTTTAATTAAATACCCAAACCCTCGTTCAGAAATATGTGGACACTTTTCACGTTCAATGAATAGTTACACCGTGAATTATTGCTAGAAAATTGTTTGTTACCACATTCTGTTTCGACTGAGTACTTGGTAACATTTAATAATATTAAATTTTTTAGTGGAATGCTATGTCTCGTAGAGGAACTATAGAATCATGTAGAAACAACAACAATTGGAAAACATTTGTGATGAGATGTTAAAAAGTAAAGAGTAATATTACTTCAGATACAACGAAGACATTACTGGTTAGCTTGATTAACAGCTTATCTATCAAGACTGCTAATAGAAATGTTAAGAGCACACGGTGGATACATAATGAAAAGAAAATTCAATGGCGTTTTATATTATTTATATTCTCTAATGCAACACAGACTAAATATAAAAACATAGGTGATCTTTATTAATAGATCCGTAACTTCACGTGCTGAAAATTTTGCACTAGTAACAAATAGAGACTGATTTATAAATGTTTTCATACTTCTTCACTCCATTTGAAGTAACGAAATTTGTGATTTTAAAAGAGATTTCACATCCGTAAGTGACAGAGTCATTACAACGCACTGCGGAAAGGATTGTTTGCCAAATCGTCGAGCATGAATCATCGAAAAGGTAACGCCTGACCTCTGTTCTGTTTAAAAATGTAAGATCTCGAGGATAATGTGCCATAGTTCTTTTTCCATTCGACGAGGTCGCTTTTTTCTTTGTCGAGCTAAAAATCATTGCGACTTGCAAAGTAAAACACTGCAGTCTTGGTTCATGTGTTGAACTGGAACAATTGGAGCACAGTTTCATACGCAATTAACACATTCTAATTTTCAGATATCTTAAAGAACCTAGAGAGTTTCTTGAAAGTCTCTATATAAAATACTGATCTAATTTAAATAACCTATTCTTCTTACATTAATTGTTTTCATAATAATATCGTTGAGTAGTCGGATCTAAACACTTACCTTTTCTTTTCTAATCCATCTACCAAAGCCATTTTCTAGTTACCTTCAGCTGTAAAGGAGATTCCTATTGAATAAATAACAACGAACCCATTCTAATACCGATCGATCTACCTCTAACAAACACGACCGTCCAGTAAGTTGATATTTCTCAGCAGCATTGAGATTATCGTGTTCTTGGTGGACGTCATCAATCCCTCAGTCTTCCACGCCGCAATTGGGGAACCAGTCACTTATTAATTCGACACGATCGCCTTCTGACAAGCTAGAATCGCGTGTCCGTCCCAGCAACCCCGTCTCCCTTAGTATTCATAAAGGTCAGCCGTGTGCGACTCGCAAGTGGCATCTATCGTGCACGTATTCCTCATTCACCCGATTACGTACACGAGACACCTGTACAGTTACTCGTCAGCGCTGCGGTCAGGTGAGCTCCACCGACTTTCAGTGGCTGTCGAAGAGGATCCATGACAGTTCCGCTAGAACCTCGTCATCCAGTCGAAGCAACGCAGACACTAGAGGATTGATCTTCACCTTGTCTGAGTGTTGGATTTTTCTTGACGCTAGACGCTTCGTTAACGGTTGCGATTTCTATGATTCTGACACGTCAGACGAGTCTATTGGAAATGTTTATTGTTAGAGAAATGTTAATTCGCAGACTTTTCACGGCGATATTTGCATTTCAAGACAGTACGATTTGAGATTTTAATGAAAGTATGAGGATATATAAATCGTCGGTGATTTTTTATTTAATAAGCAATACGGTAGTCTTAGTAATGATTATTTGTATGTTTTCGATATATCAGATTGTTAGATCTTCTGGAGACACTGCACTGCTATAGTTTCTTTTTAAATTTCAGTGAATTTAAGAGAATACCAAGATATATTCATAGAATAAATAATACATATAATAATATTCATTATTATGTGTATTATTCTTCACGACGGATTTGAAAGAGGTTTAAATGAACCTACCAAGGCATATATTTGCAAGTTTTTCGATGTTGAAGAAGAGGGTTTGAACCTTCAGGAAACGCTAAACCGAGTATTTATGCATCCCTGAACGATTTACCGAAAGGATGGAAACAGGACGACGTGTTTAGTGGCCAGTTGGCGACGGGAACTGTGAATACGAAAGAAGCGCGGTCTTTTACGTTCCTCTGGAGACTTTCCACGGGAACAGGGCAGGTCGTATTTATCGAAGTTTGTTTTTTCTTGAAAGCGATCTGACCGTTCCTCTGTCAGACTTTCTGGCATCGAATAATCGTGATATTATCGTTCTGCCTTTTTCTGGTGTCAGATGAATTATTGCATTCACATTTATTGTTCCATTTCTAAAATGTAATACAATTACACATGCACAATTTGGTTTTCACTTTCCCATCCATTTTTAATTCCATCTCTCTAATCTAGCAAGAGTAATCTAAATTTGTCACTTTTGTAGTAATTATAATAATTGCGCATGCATTTAATTATTAAAAGAAGCGAATATTCGAAAAGATTGACATTATCAAAATCTCCTTAAACAAATCAAATGAAACATTTCTATGTAAATGACATTTTCCTCAGCTGATTTAGAGAATTCATGAGAGATCGATCGTTTAACGTATTTTATTGATTTTATTTCCTGAGAAAAAATATTTTCAGGTTAATTCTAAGCCTCTCCTGCCGATCGCATTATCATCTTAACGATTCGGGTGACACTGATCGAAGCCTCTGGTTGTGCGTTCGGTATTTATCGATCATACCAGCCGCGATTTAATCGACCTTTTTTCTTTTTCTCTCTCGAAACGGCAAGGGATATCGCTCGCGGCGTTATTGTACGCTTGTGACTAATGTTTCTCGTCGGAAAAAGTCGATCCGCGACTGGATGCACGAACGAGGTCGGTGTTCATATTTAATGTAAGCGTGTGCCAGTTTCTGACGGCAGTCCTTCGTTTAATAATGAAAACCGGCGCATCAAGGATCCTGCATTGTCTGTTTTTCAGAGGTGCGCAACAATTGCTTAGACGTCGCTCGGATACTCGCATTCTCGGCACCGTTTCCTTTTTTAGTTGCCCGTTTATTCAATACGCTTTTGCAACTTATTCCGAGAAGCACGGTCGCCACGATCGTGTATCTGCTCCCCGCGACCGCAGAAAATATTTGCTCCATGTTTATTCATATTCACTTATAGTTACTCGGATGGGTAATCGTTGGAGACGTGGTACTATAGCAGTCTGTAATTCAAATTTTTATTTTTATTCAATTTATGCCGAAAATACTGTAATTATTTGAGACTCTGGGTGGGAACTTAATCCATCACTTTGCTACATTTTGCACTCTGAACACAATGATCGCCTTATAAACATAGAAATTAAATAAGAAAGGGTAGAACTCCTTTAGAAATACTAAAAATATACGTGGTGCTTACTTTAACACGAATATCTCTGGAATAATATTATTACCCCCATTCATAGTTAAACTTAGAAATTAAATGAATATCTCTAGAATAACATTCTTAACCCTATTTAAATATGCGTATTATACGATGTAGCCAATTTCCAGCTACACAACCTTAATAAATAAATGAAAATATACATAAACTACTCAAATATATCAGAATGCAACACTTAAAAAGTTGCTACTGACATTTGTCACGAGATTCAGCACATTCTCTATCGTCTCTCAAGGAGCCTCTGAAGCACGAAAATCAGCACATCACCCCCATCCCCGTTTCGTTGATATGTCATCGTTAGAGTCTCCGTTATTTTCCACGACAGAGAACGGATCCAGTCGCATTTGCGGTGGTTTATCTGTCGGTAGTATTGAAATGTCGTTTGCGCGTGTGTGCGCTCGTGAAAAGCGAACGAAAGGAAAGAAAAGGTGGGATTATCTGAATACAGTCGTTTCAGGGGTGAGTTGCGACCCCCCAGGGGGTAGTAGGTGGCCGCCCTCGGCCACGCTGGACGGGTCCTCGCCCCCCCGTGTGACGTATAGTGGTCATTCTCGCACCGAATTACCACCATCTTCTTTCCACGAGCACTCGGACGCCCAAGGGTTCAAATAGATTATTTGAATATCGATCCGAATTCGCCCCATTTTTGGGAATCGCGATTGCACGCTGGGAGGGCGGCGTTTCGCCATGTGTCACGATGATTGCTCGCGTTTTAGCATAATTCGAGCTGATTGATAATGGCTCGGGGTGTATCCGCGATATCTACGCGAACGTTTCTCGGGTGCCCCTTCTGTTTAATCAGGATCAGGGCACCGAGCTTTAGGAAATCACGGGGGCGCGCGAGCTCGTTGTATATATTTGCTGGCTCCGAGGGGGAGGGGAATTTCGGACGATGAATTACTGGGAAATATTTTTCGCAATTGTGGAAAATTAGGGATTGTAATAATAAACTGTTAAACTGTATTTCTCCAGTCTTCTACTTGTGAATAATTCAGTAGAAAGGTGTCAGGTAGTAAAATATTAAAATTAAAATGTAGCAACCCTCGTGGTCGTGTCGTCAAAGTTAATTACCAAAGAGGATTTTATCTTGATGCAAAAATTTGATTATCTGTTAACACTAAAACCATCGACACCTATGCATATCTGTCACGTGTTCAACTATATCTTTTTATCTAGGGATAGAGGAAGCAATGAATTTCTAAATATACTAATTTGTCTATTAAAAAATTGTCTCCTAAAAATTACAGCGAATAAATCCTCGATACAACAATTAAGTGATTTTAAGAAAGAGTTCGAAGTGCATGTGGTCAATTTGATCACCTTTATAGTTTTCGCGAGGGTCATACCGAGGGAAATTCTTTTCGCAGTCTCGTTGATCATTTTTACAAGAGAAAGACCGAGTTTCCCGGTCGATTTTACAACGCGACGTCACTAACGAGGCCCCGTTGCGCTTTTTGTTGCAGCCAGCGACGCGCTCGGCCGAATCGATAAGGAGCCAGCCTCGCCAGAATCCATACAAGGTGAGTTTGCACAGAGTTTCATCGTCCGTCTGTCGTTCGTTCCTTTCTTCCTCGCTCCTTCTCCCTTTCCCTGGCTCTCTTTGAATCGACCTCTTTCTCTCCGTCTGTCTCTGTCCAACAGCCGCGATACGATTAACGCACCGAAGGGCTTAACCTTCGCCGATGGCAGGAACATAAATTTCACAAACGAATAATACGACACGCGGCGGACTGAGCGAAAGGCGAAGTATCGGCATTATAAATCCGCGTCGTTATTTCTTAGCCTCTTTTTTTGCCCCCGGTGCAACGGGGCAACCTTTAATTGCAACGATGAGACCGCGTTGTGACGCGAACGCAGAAAATCGCCGGGAAAGGAGCGGACTGATTGAGAAATTTTCAGACCGCAAAGAAGTGCTGCTGGACGAGGAGGATCTTATTAATCGGGTGGGGATGGGGTTTGTTCTCTGCTCGAGTCGGTCGATGGACGTTGCACGGGAGTAATGACGTGGTCCTGTCAAAATTAAAGTATTTTAGGCTTATTTTATTGTTGATGTATGTCAGAGTATTAGTATAGTGTACCATTAATCGTTAACATGTTGACTGTCACATTAACTTTGATATCCATGGGTACTCCTGACATTTATTTAATATAAAATGAGACATATATATGAATATTCAGTAATTCAATAGTAACTTATTTTAGAATTTATTATTTTAGTTTCATAACAGGGTATACAAGATTTTGGACTTATGCTTTAATTAAATGGCTCGGTTAGGATATTCTAACCAAGGTGGGGAGAGTGGTAGCCATAGTAATTACACCATTTAACAGTTCATAGAATATAAAAATACGTTACGAATATGGCTGCTAAATCATCTTATCGTAATAAATTACATTTTCTTTGATTTAATTCAAATCTCTATCATAAATAAGTGGTGCAAATTCTATTTATGATCTAAAAGGTGCGAGTTTTTCCTTCCTAACCTGTGTCATCAGTCCAACAAATTCAAGAAACATCTTCTAAACTGCATGAGCTCCAAAACGTAACGAACCACTCTGCACAGTAGCCTCTTCGTCAAACCTTTACCCCTAAACTCCCCACTTAACTTTACCTTCGCCAACCAATATAACTCATCATTTGCAACCTCGATGCAGAAGCTTCCCACAGAAAAAATTCGCACGAGAAGACGCCAAAGCATTCCAATCCAAAGTACGCCCGAGCAGAAGGTCGCCCGGAAGGGTCCCCCTTCTGCTAATCTCTTTCCACGTAAAATATGTCATAAAACCAATTACTCTCGACGAACGCCGCCGACACTGGGGTCGGTGGCGGTTTGTCATTTGCCTCGAAGAATTCTCCGCGTATAACCAGCCTTTCGAGCCGAGGCATCATCCGCTCGCTAAATCCAGACTCGAGAGACTTTCCGTCGGAGTCGTAAAAGGGTATGCAGTCCTCCCTCGACGTCGTCGAACCCCGAGGCTGCGCCATGTTTTTTCGCCAAAAACCTCCGTACCCGCCAATCGAGAAAAATTTCAGTGGATTTTATCACCTGGCGGAGTAAGAATCGACGGCCGAGGTTGGTCTCGAGACTTTTGAGACTTCTCACGCGACAGCAGACGGAAGAGCGACAGGTCGTGAAGGATTCTGATAATTTAGGCTCGCGTGAGAACAAGCTACCTTCTGTGTACGAGTGTGTGTGTGTTATTCTGCTGACCGTTCCCGTTGTCTGGAAAGTGCTAACGCACTTCTGGGGACTGTCACGTGTCGCAAAGTGTAACGAGGATCCTGGAGACTGTGTAATGATGGACACGATGGACTTTAACTAGTGGATCAGTGACACGTTCGACACTCCATCATTGATGTTAAGTTTAGAAGAGATCTCTGGTCTGGTCTCTCTTCTTCCTGATGTCATTTTCATGATACTCCAATAGGGAATCTCTCGCTCTCAATTTTGGCTTTCAATTTGTAGCATATACGAGCGATCTTGAGGAACTAGGTACTTGTAAAACGTCAGTCTTCAGGTTGGAATAATTTTCAAGGCGTTGAATCGTAATTTTGACAATGCTTTTAGTAAATTTTATTTCACCTATCAGAGCTATGAGTATTCATATATAAAAGCACCATGTACAAGCTATGAACAATTTTCTCAATTTACTTCACAATAGTTGTTTATAAGATTCAATCAACTTAAAACTACCTATTGCTAACGATATCTTCAATATCTCGAGTGTGGATAATTTTTATTAAAAAATTCAGAACATATTCGGTTCACAATGAATTTACACCCACGTTTCAACTTTCATAACGCTTCCGCTTATAACAATCGTATTTAGTCCTATACATGTACCCAAATTATGTATCATACCATCTGAAACACGAGTTGCATTTTTTAAATCAATTCCCATCTCAAACCAACGACTCGAAAACTTTTATATCGCGCACGAAAATTCAACAGGCTATCCAAAAATGTCCGGTTCAAGATCGCTCGATCTCGAGCGTCTAAATCGCGTCCCCAGTATGAAAAATGAGCATCGCGATCGACGGGATGCTAACAAAGCTCGGGTGGACGCAAAAAATCGACGATGGGACCGGAGTCTCGGAAATCCTGAACCGGTCGTAACTCGAGAAAGACTTCGAGGATCCTCCGACGAACGTTGCCACGAGTTAGACGTGTATTTGTCCCTATGACCGTGAGCTAGGGGGCGAAACCGAGAAGGAGCGAACGATCGACGCTGAAAGGGGAGAAGAGAACCCCTGAATAGGGCCCAAAGCGCGAAGGAGACGAAATATCATCGTAGACCTGTGTTTTACTTTATAGCATTTAGCCCCATTGTTTGTCTTATTGCTATTAGCCTCCGTCAATTAGTAATTGTGTTTTTAATGCCGATTCCGTGAATCGGGCCCGATGCAGCGGCGGTTAGACCCCACCAAGGACTGACGAGAAGGGGTCCAACCTTGGTGAGTTCGAGGGAAGCCGGTAGGAGAAAATCAGGCGATGAATCGGTGGGGATTCGAGTCAGGTGGGAGAACGGGCCCACGAATGGGGCAGGGGGAAGGGGGCATGTCATTAGGAGTCGTTAATATTACGGACCTCTGTAATTTGACACACTTCCGATCGCCTAGCGCCACCACCGCCACCCGCTCCATTTCGTTTCCTTTCCACCGCCTCGATCTTTTCTATCCTTTTCGCTCCCCTTTTCCTCCGATAGCTCGATCCTCTTTTCCCTTTGGCCTTTTCGCCGATTTCGCCTTCGTTGGCCTGTGGGGCCATGGAACCGCAGGTACAAGAAGTCGCGCAACGTGATGTTCGTGCCTTTTCGAACAGGTGGCAGAGGTCCATAGGGAAAGGGGTGCACAGCAAGGGGTGACAGGTTGTCGAAGGAAGGAGGTACGGACAGTGTGGATATTTGTGGTGTGTAATAATTGTTATTGTCGAATATTACTCCAAGGAAAGCGTGACTGTTAGAGCATTTTTGAAAAAAGTTGTGAACAATTTTAAAAATTCATCATTTAACCCTTTGCACTCGGATGTGCCCTATGAAGTGACCATCGTGAGTCTATCAAATTTTGTTAGTGACATAAAGGATATTTATAACATAAAGGATTTATATTTGCAATCATGTCAACGCTTCAAGAAAGCTATAAAAATTTATAATCAAGTCTAATAATAGAAAGACACGTTTCCATAGTTAGACTATCTTATGTAATGCAATTCTGCAACGAGATAGTGCAGAGTGCAAAGGGCTAGTTCTTTGATACCTACTCTATAAAATATCACATTCAAAAGAGAACGGTGAAAACGTGGTCAGAGAAATTTTCTCGATTACGATACCTTTCTTACAACTTAAAAAGTACAAAAACCACAAAGTTAATTTCAATAGATTAAATCTCCATCCAATTCTGTACCCTAGAACCATGCTCTAAGAACGTTCCACGACGAACAAGTAAAAATTCAGCCGTTCAATCGAATACAAACATCCCAAAATAAATTTCTACGTTATCCATCACCTGATATCGGACCAGAATTGCGCTCGCCCCCGATCGCAAGGTGGAACGAGAGGAGCAAATTTTCCGCGCCAGTGCCAACGTTGAGCGGGCGCGCGACGCCAAGATATCCGTCGTTAATTAACTCCCTGCGCCCTCGGTAACGAATTGCCGGTAATTAACTCGAGTCGTGCAGGCGCGATCGCGCCGCGACGCGTCGCGGACGCGGTTCGTAAATCGTCGATGCCGGTTACGAAATCGTTTCTGAAAGAACGAGGGTCCGCGTCGTTTGGAATGCAAGCAGTCGCGATCGATATGATCCACGGATGCTAATCGAATCGCTAATCGTTTATTCCTGCGACGTACAGGCACACCTGTTCGACCGATATGGTCAGACCAGAGATTCTTTTAACGCTCGTTTCATGGAGATCTCTCGAACGGAGAACGGCCAAGTCCCTTATCATACTTTGTAATGCGAACTCTCGACGAGATTTTCTTCGTTCTTTGTCCTGCTTTTTTTTTTCTTTTAGCTCGGTTAACGACGAGCCAGGGGAACGATAAGCGAAAAATCGTGCGCTCCTGTGCTCTGGCGAAGACGGACCTGGTGTCGACCATTGATATCTATCCGAGATCCGTTTGGGTTCGATTCTCCGTGTCGGCGGTGTGTAAATTACGGTTGAACTCTCCTTCACCTGTCGATGGCTATCAGACCTCGTCGATATCGCTATTGTTTCGTTTGATACCGTCGCGAGAGACCTACTTTATTGAATTATGAGAAGCGTTGGAGATTTGACTTTTATGCATTCGCAGAAGGACTTACGGTTATTTTGTGTATTTAGATTCTAGTGCTGCGAATATTCGTTTGAAGTATAATATTATGTAATTGGTGCTTCGAAGCTAGTATTCCAGATTCATAAAACTTTATTCCAAGGGAGAATCGACAGAATTGTCAGGCACAAGCGTAATTTCTGCGCTGCCAGTGCAAACGAGCACGCAAATCGCGCTGAACCGTCGCGAACGCGTACCCGTCTCCACGGA